GATTGACACCATAAATAAATTCCTTTGACTAAAACATAGAGTTTGTGTCAGAGAGTTAGTTGAGGGACATAAGTGCATAAAGATAGTTTAGAACAAGACCAGGTAGAGCCTTGAATGCTAGGATAAAATGTAGCTTATTGTGTATCTTAGAGTAATAGTTGATCCCTTGAAAAATTATTTGTGTTAAATATGTGTTTTCTAGATTTCTAGGGACTAGTATTTGAAAGTTCAAATACTTAATGAAAAGCTATTCATTCTGGTTATTTTTCAGTGATTTTAACTCAAGTTATGCAAGTCGCCTTCTGGTCAGTAAGTCTACTTGCCATTGTTCAATAATGATTATGAGACATTTGTGTGGAGAGTGAAAAAATTTACCTGCATTTTGAGTCTTTCAATTGCTTGTCTCCTTTACACTAATAAACACAGCCCTTGAAATAACTCAGCTTCTTAAAAGAAAAAAAGACAACTATCGTATATCTTTTTGAAGTTAATCGATAATGATTTTAAAAATGTATTTTCACTAGTAATGTCATGAAGGATGCAATGCCCAACCTCCCTGATCAACAGCTTTGATGGTTCCCACTTCAAAGTGAGAAAGATGTATATGACCTCTTACATTACTGTAAAGGACAAACAAAAGGTAGAGCAAAACCCTCTCTCAGCTTCGCAAGGGGCCAATTAGGTGCTACACGGTAGTTTACACCTTTATAATAGCTATAACATTTTGGTTTTCTCCTCAAGTTATTTTCTTGGGGCTGATTTTTGTCATATAATTTTCTATCTAAATAATTAATCTGAATGGATATTTGACATATTTTAAATGGAAATGAGGCATTGTAAATTACACGAGTAATCTACCCAGGGACTTCTCAATGGAAGGAGTGCAAACATCAACCTCTACTTTGAGGTTTTATCCCAATATATTCCACCCATACAGGCATGCTTTTAGGTCTTCTCTACAGTACTGGTAACCCCCAGGGTAGCAATCCCAGTAATGAACTTCCACTTTTATAGATGGAAAGAATTGTATAACAGACCATTCTAAAAAGATAATGAGAAAAAAAGGGGTGGGGAATGAATTTAGTGTTTAAGAAATATATTTCCTCGCTCCCTTTTCAAGTGGCGTGGTATAAAATTGGTTCTCAAAAATTATACAAAAAATCTTTGTTCAATAAATTCCTTTGAACATTGTCTGACATTTTTTCTTAAGTAATTGTGTGGTTTTCTTTCATATACTCTAACTTTGGTGTTAATCAATAAGGTTTGTGAGTGGTGTTTCTGGAAATTATTCAAAGTTCTGTCCAGTGAGGTCTTTATTTGACTACAGGCTATCAGCCAATTTCCCAGCAATATGCATTCACAAATTAGTAGCCACAAATCAGGCCCCATAGTAAGGTGTATATTACAAAAATGTGTTAACCATGGACAGATGATTATAAAGTTGCAGCTATTAATGTTTATTGCTTTGATGTAGTACAAGGGGAAAAGAGATGTGTTATTTTTCTTATTAATGAATTTAATTAACTTTTAATTGATTTCTAGGAAGATATATGTTTTCATTATAACATCATACACTGAACTGCTTGACTAGATATTAAACATCAATGCAAAGTTCTTGACAGTACTGCTGATAATGAGGGGTTCTATGTTTAGTTATCTTGTTTAACAGCTACATGTTCATCTAGAATAGTAAATAAGTAAAACTGCCTTGCTCAGCCAGCTCATGTTGCTTAACTTACATTACCTTATTTATGCTCCTTGATTTAATGGGGACATAGGAATAGATAAGGAAATAGCTCTGCATTTTATATTCTATTCCCTTTGTTTCCATTAGATGTGTGTCTCAGTCACCTTAAAATTTTTAGAGTAGTTTTCTAGGGGATATTATAGTATTTTATTCCATAAGCTCAAATATACTTCTTGTCATGGTAGCTATTACTTCAGTGAATTAAGTGGTCATAGATTCAGTCCAAGTGTGTGTGTACTTGACATATCATAATTTATACCAATTTAAACTGATTATTTAAAATTATGAAACTCTATTGATGAGGATGCTCCATTTAGCATTTACTGTCAGTCTGCTTAATGAATATCTGCTTGGATATTTTCTCTAAAAACCCCTCTCAGGCTGGGTGAGATGGCTCACACCTGTAATCCCAGCACTTTGGGAAGCCAAAGTGGGAGGATAGCTTGAACCCAGAAGTTCAAGACTGACCTGGGCAACAAGGGGAAATCCCGTCTCTAATAAAAATAAAAAAATTAACCAGGTATGTGGGCATGTGCTTGTAGTGCCAGCTACTTAGGAGGCTGAGGTGGGAGGATCACTTGAGCCTGGGAGGTAAAGGTTGCAGTGAGCCTAGATCACACCACTGCACCCCAGCATGGGTAACAGAGCAAGACCTGTTTCAAAAAAAAAAAAAAAAAGAAAAGAAATCCTATCATAAAATCATCGTAAAATATAGGTTGCTATATATTTATATATGGCAATATACACACACTTGCACATGTGTGCACACACATATATCAAGGTTAAAGATGCTGAGATGGGGATTCTTTCCTGGATTGTCCAAGGGAGCGTAATGTAATCTTACATGCCCTTAAAAGTGGAGGAGGATACCTGAAGAGTAGGTCAGAAAGATAAAATGGAAAAAGATGGAGGGAGGGATTCAAAGAATGTGAGAGGGACTTGACCACCATTGCTGGCTTTAAAAATGGAGGAAATGTGTCATGAGCCAAGGGATATGGGGACCTCTAGAAACCGGGATTGGTGGTCACATGACAACCATCAAGGAAGTGGGGATCCCAGTTCTACAAATTCTAGCAACTGAATTCTGTCAACAACCTGAATGAGCAAGGACGTTGTTTCTCCTTAGAGTCTCCAGAAAGAAACGTAGCCCTGGTGAGACCATCTTGAATCTCTGACCTATAGAGCTTTAAAATAATGAACTTGTTTTGTGTCAGCTGCTCAATTTGTGATAATTTGCTATGGGAGCAAAAGCAAAACTAATTTGGATATGTTTAGATATGTTTCCTAGTGGATATGTAAACAGCTGGACATTTATAAAACATGCAGACACACATACAGCCACATCAGTCAAACTGAGTCATTCTACCATAATAAATTTTCAATTATAAGGGTCAGTAAAAACAACTTGAACAAGAGTCATTTAAATTTCCAATTGCATAAATGATTAATGTGTTTGATCTTAAGATATTCCATAGACAGAAAAAGTGACTGAAAATTTAAGGCTATTATTGTTATGAAACAAGACATATTTATATTTTGTTATTGGCCTACAATTTTTTCTATTTACTTGATGAGTAATTTCAGACCAAAAAAGAGTTCACCCTCTTTTTTTGGTGAAAAAGGGAGAAGGCAGTGTTTATTTTCACTAAAATGATCAGCTTCACTGATTTGTCAATAATTCATAAGACAAATTCTAAGCAAAGTATAAAAGTAAAAGAAACTATATCGACAGAAACTATTCAACTCTGTCACAGTATTTTTTCTCTTCAGGTATTTCTGCAATTCTATCTTTTCTCAGAACTAAACCTCAGAGATATTAAACTCCCAGGGGCAGTTGTGTTTTCATGAGTCAAAGAGACAAATCCTGCTGAAATGCTTGGCATTATGACATACAGGAGCACCGCTGTAAATATGATTTTCACATCTTAGACATTCTTGTTTCAAAGGAGGCACAAACATTCAGCATCCCCATTCTGCATGCTTTACCAGTGCCTGTAAAACTGAATATACAACTGCATATGTGCTGTTAAAACACATCGTATTGTATTCCACGCTTTGTGGACCTGGAGTGATTTTTGTGTCCCTGGCTCATAAGGCAGCCAAGTGTTTTGTTTTCCTTCCTTTCCTGTTGACAGTTTGAGGCATAATTATATAACTTTTTACAGTTTCTAAGATTTATTTCAGTTTCTTTTACATGGAACTTTTCAAAGCAAAATATACAGTAGCTGATAGCGAGATTCATAATTAGTATCACAATTGAGTTTTAGCTAAGATTCATTCTTATTACATTTCATTAGATGAATATTTACTCAATATTTTCTCATTTTATTTGATGCAAAGTGATTTTACATGACTTCAAATTTTCAGTAAATATGGATATATTATGGTATCAAACATTCTTACTTATGCAGAGATGTGTTTTCTAATGTTGAAGAAGAGTCCCTTGCAGGTACATTACAGTTACTGTAGTTTTACTCCTATTTGGCTTTTGGAACAAATTTAGTTGCAAATCTGTTTCATTTCATCTAAAGTTCATTAATTCAACAAGCATTTGTTAAGTACTTTTATATATGAAGTATTGTGTTAAGAAAGGGGACACTGAGATATTTGTTTATTGTGTAACCTTCCATAAGTCACAGTGTTCTCATTCGTAAAATGAAATTAATGATATTTACTCATAACGACATCATGAGGATTAAGTCAAGTTATACTTATAAATATTTATGATAAATATGATTAATGTTTATTATAATAAAAATTATTACATAAATAATAATAGCATAACATAATAAAATGTTATCTATTATAAACAAGCAATGTGTAACAATATTATTACTAAACATATATAAACATATAATGAATATGTAAAGTGAGTAAAAACCTATGTAATCTTAAATTGTCACTCAGTAGATTATGTTAAATGAAAAACAAAATTTTTTCTCACTTTAGAATTCAAAACCTATTAAAATCACAAGACATAAAGATTCAGTACTTTTATAATATGAGTTTTCTGTCATAATATAGTATTGTTATTGCTAATGACATTATAAGTTTTTATGTTAATTTTAAATTAAGAATATTAAATATAATATTGTTCATGTTTTATATTTTGCGTTGTATAGTCGTTGTCATTTCTTCCTTAACCAAATAATATTTGGTCAGAAAAATGCCATAATTTGTTAAGTATTACCTTCATTTACAGTAGCCCATCAAAACTTATGTAAATTTTCTTGCTTTTCATTTTATTTAATAGGCAACAGACCCTGATGCTGGAATAAATGGTCAAGTGCACTACAGTTTGGGTAACTTTAATAATCTTTTTCGTATCACATCCAATGGGAGCATTTACACAGCAGTGAAGCTTAACAGAGAAGTCAGGGACTACTATGAACTTGTTGTTGTGGCAACAGATGGAGCAGTACACCCTCGTCATTCAACTGTAACCCTGGCCATCAAGGTTTTGGACATCGATGATAATAGTCCTGTGTTCACCAATTCAACGTACACTGTCTTTGTTGAGGAGAATCTGCCAGCTGGGACCACCATCCTTCAAATAGAGGTGTGTGGAAAAGTATTTATTACATTAATTCTACATTAGGAGGTTTGCTATTAGGGTTTGTTTGCCAAAATTAGCAAGTAAAAATATAACACACCAAGCTGGATTTTAATTTCAGATAAACAATGAATAATTTTTTATTATTTCTCCAATATTGCATATTGCATTTGGTGTGGCAACCCTACTTTAAAGATACCCCAAAAATTAAGGACAGAAAGGTCTCTTTGTAAGAAATTTTAAAAATACTGTTTAATAGATTTTTTAATTTACAAAAGTAATATTCTGTTTATCGCAACAGTTGACAATACCATAGTTTATGAAACAAAAGTTAATAATCTCCCACAATGTGCCTCCAGCATACTCAGCATTAAATTTATTTCACATTTGTCTTTGTGTTCACACAAATGTCAAAAAAAAAACGTGTGTGTGTGTGTGTGTGTGTATATATATATTCATTTGTGTGGGTTGTACATATATAACATAAATGTGTATACACATGAAAAACACAGAGTTACATATTGGTTCCCCCTCTATTTTACAGATATCGTTTATACCCATTATTCTGTATTTTTTTCACGTTCAATACACAAAAGGCATCTTCTAGTAATCTAACTCTCCTTTTTAATGACATCTCTGTATCAAGCCTCTTTTTAAAGTATTCAACTATAAATTACAAAAAGTCTTGAACATTTTGATTCAGTAGGTTAGGCTGATCCATAAATCTGCATTTTTAAGCAGCTACCTGATTCAATATGGACTCAGTTGGTGTATGAGGTATGTTTTGAAAAAAAAAAAAAAAAAAAGGTAGCCAATTTTCCACCTGTAGTACACAACTTGAATGTTTTTAGCACAGTTTTCCAGACTCTGTATCCCTTCCATAATTGAACTCGGCAATAAACATTAACAAATCTAAATAAGGCAAATACTGACCAGGGAGAGAACCATTATTCCTTCATCTGTTCCACCATTCATCTATCAAGTAATTAATTAGTTAATATATTTATTTAACAAACATGTCTTCAGTATGTACAGTATGCAAAGTCTCCTGCCAGTGTCGTTAAATTCATGCTGTCCTAGGGGATACACAGACTTTGCGGATACAATGATGAACAAAACAAATCTGCTGCTTTCTTGGAGTTTTCAGGCTGGTTTAGCAAACAGTCAGGAAAATTAGTAGTTAAAACTTAGGTCCTCAGTACAAAGGGCCTAGGTAATAGAGGTGGAGCTCCTAACCTAATCTTAAGGCAAAGAGAAACTTATTTCTAAATGGTGAACTGAGGGACAAGTAAGAGCTATTCAAGAGGAAATGGAAGAAAGATTGTTTAAAGCAGTAGAGGAAAAAAAGTCTGGTCAAAATCATGGAAGACGGGAAAGTGTGAGGGGTGAGGGGCTAAAGGTCTAGAAAATGTAGTGACTCTTACCATGTTAAGGATAATGGCGTTGATTGAAAATTGAATTAAAAACCAGAGGATTTTAAGCAGGAAAAATCACATAATAAAATGTATGCTTTAATAGCATCTTTCTGATTGTTAAGTCAATAATTGATTGGAGGAGACCAAGGCTGAGGTTCACATAGGAGATGTTTGCATTAAAATATGCACATTAAAACATACTCTGAATCTTCCCCATTTTCATTCTTGCTCCATTTGGTTTTCTGTACCTGAGGTGCATTTGCTAGTCTGTACTGAGTGAAATAGCCATTCTACAAGACTCCCATGAAAACCCATCCTTTCAGCTAAAGGACATCGTTCCCAATTTAGAACATCTTTTAGATTGCATGTCACATTTTTTCCTTTCTATTTTAGTATTTGTGTCTTATTTCTTCTTGAGACCATAACCTGTAGGGAAATAATTGTGTCTTGATTCATTTTGGTGCTCTCTACAGCACCTGTGTGTAACTACTACTCAAATGCTAGTTAAATGAAGGGAAGTATAGTAGAGTGATCTCTAGAAATGCATTATAAGATCACTGTGAAGAAGAATTACTACTTACATTTTCTTAGTTTTCTTATAGTACTTTAGCCATCCATTATGTTTATGGAAATCACTCAGTGTTTATTTTTATTTAATATATTTGTTCATGATTATTAAATCAGCAGAAAATAAGAAGTAATCATTTAATACTATTTTTTTTTACTGTGATATAATTCATTTAGTGATTTTTCAAGTTAAATAGATAAAGTAATAACATCGACAATGACAAAATCTTATGGGAGTGTTTCTCTCTCTCTCTCTCTCTCTCTCTCTGATTCTCCCTCTCACTGCCTCCCTCTTTTCCTCCCTCCCTCCGTCTTTCTCTCCTCCATCCCTCCTTGCCTATCTCTGGTAAATTATTAAATAATGTATTTTTCTTTTAAACGTGTCTTTTTGTCCTCATTAAATTCATGCTGTCCTAGGCACTGACACATGACTTCCATCCTTCCTGCATTTCTTTATTTTGGTAACGTCACTAATAAAACCATTCTTTTGCTTATTACAGGCCAAAGATGTCGACCTTGGAGCAAATGTGTCTTACCGGATAAGAAGCCCAGAAGTGAAGCATTTTTTTGCGCTACATCCATTTACAGGAGAACTATCCCTTTTAAGGAGTTTAGATTATGAGGCATTTCCAGACCAAGAAGCAAGTATCACTTTTCTAGTAGAGGCCTTTGATATTTATGGAACAATGCCTCCTGGTATTGCTACTGTCACAGTGATTGTAAAGGTAAGGACGAAAGATGACTTCTGGTTGCCTGCTTTGCTCTCTATACATGTAGGTTTTGTTTCTTCTATTATACCTATAAATATATTTTGATAATAATTCCTAATGACACAGTGGTACCAGACCCAGAACATAGATTTTCCAATGGAAAATAGTTATGAATACATAAGAAATAACTATATTTTTTATCATAAAATATAAATTTTAAAGAGGCACTAAATATGAGTACAAAGACCATGGAAATTTGAGTCTGCATCAACTCTCCATCAAGTCATAACATCTCTAGACTAGATTTTAGTTCAAATTCCACAACATCAGGCATAATTATTTGGTACAAATCCTTCAACTAAAAAAATTTTGTAAATGACTCTGAAGGGCCAAGAGTTCTTAGGCCCTAAAATTAATTTATGGCCCAAACCTCTGGGATGAAATAAACTTCCAAGTTAGATGGAATTGGGGCTAAATTCCGGCTCAACCCTTTTTAAGCTCTATGACCTTGGGGACTTTGTTAACCACTCTGGATTTGTTATCTCATTTATTATAATACCGTGTGCCAGATGATTGCCTGAAAGAGCATGGCCTTTTTAACCTTTTGAATTTCTAGTGATTTTTAAGAGACAACTTAAAAGTAGATATGAGAAGAAGTACTATAAGTTGATCAGTCCTCAAATAGTAGTACATACAATGATCATCTGAGAGTCATCTTAAACTTCCAGATTTCTGTACTCCTTCCCCAGAGAAGGACCTGTCCCGATCATAAACATCAGCATTTGAGAAAAGTACACAGATGATTCTTATACAAGACATCTGAATCCCATATTGAGAAATTTACTTCAAATACAAAGATACACGTACAAAAATCCTCAAGTTACTTTACTAAATGAGTATATTACTAAAAGTATGACTTTACATGGCAGTAATTTCTTAGGCAATATAAAGTGAAAGTTCATTCACAATCATGGTACGTTGTAAAAATTTTTGTTTTGGTAAGGGAAGAAAATAGAAACTTGAAAGAGTCCTAATTAAAGTGGTTTTTTTCTGCTTCCAGAATAGATTTTGAATGATGAAAAAGGGCTAGTCAGAAATAAATAGAGATACCCGCCCAGAGCAAGGGCAGTGGAGGGAGGAAAAAGACAGAAGATCTATAAGATAAATGAAGCACTTGCAAAGAAGCTTATAGAGTATTTCAATGGCCATGCATAAAATAGATGAATATGAGTAATTAATTGAATAAACAATTTAACTTTACTATAGATATTTTGGTTTATATTTTATTCAGAGTTGTATCTATGTTCTACTCCCAAAAATGTAATTGATAATTATGGCTCAGATTTTACCAGGTGACCATAGATATCAAGTGTCTACGTTAAAAAAAAAAAAAAATGAAATCTATGGGCTTAGATAGAAAAATGTGGAAAGATGTGGACATTTTAAATAAATGTTTAGTTGCAGGATCATACCATAGGATTGGAATGAAATATTGGCAACTACATATTGTCTACTACACGTTGGTACTATTTATGATTCATATAATCACTAAAAACGTGTAATAGCTGAGTGGAATCAAAGTTACATGACTTGCCAGCTTTGTTAGGTTATCTAATCCTGGAGATCATGCAGATACCTCTAGGCATCTGTGTTTACTTAAACTTTGTCAGTATTATATTTTCAGGTTGTATTTTGTTCCCATCAATGCTTTTTCATTTGTTCTTTTGAAGTGGTTAGAGTTACAGTCCATTATGTGTTTAAGGTGAATTGTTTAGCAGAATTTACATATGATAATTTACTAACAATTCCATATCATTTGGATTTTGTTGGCTACCTGAAGACGGTGGGACGGTGCAGATACATTTCTGCCTAAAATAAGACAACGTTCCTGAAGATTACTCTCTTTTCTTTCTTTTTTAAATTTTTTTTTTATTTTAGTGTCCAGTACATTTATGTGAGATCATTCAGATTATGCATGTGCAACACAAATGTCTCTGAGGGACCTTAGTAGAAGACTATATGCATCCAGGGTCATAAGGTAAACAAGGTCATAGGCAACTTTTCTGCAATTTTCATATTATAGGGACTACAAATAAGATTTTATTTTATTTGAAATGATGGAAGAAGAATTCACTTTTCTTAGGTCATTGTTTGGTTGTTGTGCTGCTAAATAGCTAGATATATGCTATTAATTTTCTTAGACAACAAAGTAATGATGTGAAAAAATATTTCACCAATACATAATTAATATAACTATATTTTTCCAGTAGGTTAATGTTCTTGACCCTAAAATTTTGGGGTTTGGATTTTATTTTTTTTAAGATAATTCTGCAATCACAGTTAAACACAGGAAGTATTTCACTACCTTTTCTTTTTTTAGTGTCTTATTTTACATTTTCATCTTTTATTTAGATTCAGGCATTACATGTTCACATTTGTTACATAAGTGTATTGCATGATGCTGAGTTTTGGGATATGAATGACCTTGTCAACCAGATAGTGAATATAGTACCCAATAATTAGGTTCTCAACTCCTGCTTCTTCACTTCCTAACCCACCCAATTTCTGTCTATTAATCTTCAGTGTCAATTTTTATGTCCATGAATACCCAATATTTAGTTACCATTTAGAAGTGAGAACATTCAGTGTTTGGTTTTATGTTCCTGAATTTGTTTAAAATAATGGCCTCCAGCTGTATCTATGTTACTGCAAAGGACATGATTTTATTCTTTTTTAGGGCTTCATAGTATTCTATGGTATGTATGTACCCTTTTATATTTATCTAATTCACCATTGATGAGTATTTAGGTTGATTCCATGTCTTTGTTATTGTAACTCATAAAACTTTGGTAAATAAATGTTATATCTTGGCTGGGCATGGTGGCTCACACCTGTAATCCCTACACTTTCGGAGGTCGAGGCGGGTGGATCACCTGAGATTGTGAGTTTGAGATCAGCCTGACCAACATGATGAAACCCCATCTCTATTAAAAATACAAAAAAATTAACTGAGCATGGTGGCGCACACCTCTAATCCCAGCTACTCAGGAGGCTGAGGCAGGAAAATCACTTAAACCTGGGAGATGGATGTTGCAGTGATTTGAGATCATGGCACTGCACTCCAGCCTGGGCAACAAGATCGAAACTCCATCTCAAAAAATAAAATAAATTAAATGTTATATCTTAACATATGTTGTGTCTTGTAACTGAAGACATACTATTATTTTAATTCAAAAGGTTTATGGCATGCTCGGGTGAGTAATTCAAATGATTCTAAGTAGTTTCCAACACGTTTCTTTCTTTAAAGTTTTAAATTTAGGCTCATGAATACATGTGCGGTTTTTCATACAGGTAAATTGTGTGTCACAGGATTTGATTGTACAGATTGTTTTGCCACTCAGGTAATAAACACAGTACCTTATAGGTAGTTTTTTTTTTTTTTTTAATCCTCACTCTCCTCCATCTGTCCACCCTCAAGCAGCCCCCAATGTATGTTGTTCCCATCTTTGTGTCCCTGTGTACTCAACATTTACCTTCAGGTTCTAAGTGAGAACATGCAGTATTTGGTTTTATGTTCCTATGTTAGTTCACTTAGGATAATGGCTTCTAGTTGCATCCATGATGCTGCAGAGGACATGATCTCATTCTTTTTTATGGCTGCATAGTTATTCCATGGCATATATGTGCCACATTTTCTTTATTTAGTTGACCATTGTTGGGCATTTAGGTTGACTGATTTCATGTCTTTACTACTGTGAATAGCATGATACTAATGATACACGTGCATGTGTCTTTATGGTACAACAATTTATTTATCTTTGAATATATACCTAAAACATGGGATTGCTGGGTCAAATGGTCATTTTGCTTTGAGTTCCTTGAGAAATCGCTAAACTGCTTTGTTCTGTTTTCTCCTCAACCTCGCCAGCATGCTTTTTGTTTTTTGTTTTGTTTTGTTTTGTTTTTACTTTTAATAGCAATTCTGATTGGTGTGAGATGGTGTCTCATCATGGTTTCGATTTGCATTGCTTTCATGATTAGTGATGATGAGCATTTTTTCATATGCTTGTTCACCGTATGTATGTCTTCTTCTGAAAAGTGTGTGTTCATATCTTTTGCCCACTTTTTAATGGGGTGGTTTGCTTTTTGCTTGTTGATTTGTAAATTCCTTATAGATTCTGGATATTAGACCTTTGTCAGATGCATAGTTTGTAAGCATTTTCTCCCATTCTGTAGGTGGCCTGTTTACTCTGTTTATATGGTTTTTTATATGGTTTTATATGGTATGCAGAAGCTCTTTTAGTTTAATTAAGTCACACTTGTCAATTTTTGCTATTGGTAAAATTGTTTTTGGCATCTTTGTTACGAAATTTTTGCCAGGGCTTATGTCCAGAATGATATATCCTAGGTTATCTTCCAGTGTTTTTATAGTTTTAAGTTTGACATTAAAGTCTTCAATCCATCTTGAGTGCATTTTTGTACATGGTGTAAGGAAGGGGTCCAGTTTCATTTTTCTACATATGTACAGCTGGTTATCCCAGCATCATTTGCTGAATAGGGAGTCCATTCTCCATTGTTTGTTTTTATGTACTTTGTTGTATATCAGATGGGTATAAGTATGCGGCATTATTTCTGGGATCTCTATTCTGTCCATTGGTCTATGTGTCTGTTTTTGTACCAGGACAATGCCATTTTGGTTACTGTAGAATTATAGTATAGTTTGAAGTCAAGAAATGTGATATCTTCAGCTTTTTTCTTTTTACTTTGGATTGTCTTAACTATCAAGCTCATTTTTGGTTTGATATGAATTTTAGAATACATTTTTCTGGTTTTGTGAATAATATCTTTAGTAGTTTAATAAGAATAGCATTGAATCTGTACTTTGCTTTGGGCAGTATGGCCATTTTAATGATATTAATTCCTTCCATCTACAAGAATGGAATGTTTTTCAATTTCTTTCTGTCATCTTTGATTTCATTGAGCAATATTTTAAGTTCTCATTGTAGAGATTTTTC